CATATACGTTAGTTGGAATTGTTTGAAAGTACTATTACTGTTACAAGAATCGCAGAATCGCCACAAAGAGAATAAGTTATGACATATCGTTCATGATTCAACGGATATTTCTATATAATGAGTTTTGAAGACAACATCAAATCGAAGAAGTTTTGTTGCATACTGGCCTGTTTTCAAATGATACAGAAAAGCCCAAACGACGACCAATAAAAAACTAAGCCATAAAGGTATTAACTACACCTTGAAATTAACATGTTTTCTTGAATAATTCACTTAGGTCCTCAAATAAACACCCTAATCGTTTGATAGTTAGCGTAACGACACCGATCCTGACCAAATCAAGTCTGCAATAATCTATAATGACAGAAATTGGCAAACAAAAGAGTAATTGAAATAAATCCTCTGGTATGTGTTTTTCAGTTGCGTTCTATGTTTAAAAAACGGACGACCAATTATAAATCCAAATACAACATGTATGAGAAAAAAAGCGAATTTGTGACATTTCAGTGTCAGAGTATTGCGTTCAATTTCAAGCAGGTCTCCTTCTAAGTGATCAGCACCATAATTGTTTAAGGATGTACACCTCTGAGGAGCCAAAAATTTCTAGAATTAAACTTTTTTTCTTAACCTGTTTTTTTGGGTTTATATGACTGTAAAAAAATAATTGATGAAGAAAAAAATCATATGGTGGTGCATTTTTTTTTTTGCTACGGCCCTTTGAAAGTACCCAATTTTGATGATTTTCCCATTTTTCATCAATTTTTCCCTATGTTTGGGCTATTATCGTGAAAAAAATCACAGTTCCACAATTAAACTTTTTTTCATACTTTCAATAAAGATGAAGTGGACCAATCTGAATAAATTTAACTTAAAAAAACTATAGGTAGGTGTTAATATAAGAAAGTTTTATCATATTTTGATGCTTTATTTTGTGTCAAATTAACCATGCTGTCAATTTTGTAAATTTGTGATTTTTCTCTGTTTTAAGAACAAAATGCACATTACTTCAACTTCTTTCTTATAAATGATTGAAAAAAAAATATCTAAGACATTTGAAAAGAAAAAAGTGATATGAGATGTACATGTTTCTGGTAAAGTCATTTCTTGTACCCCTCACCCATTTTCTTAAAATTTTGGCTAAAAAGACTGACTTGATTGGTAATAAAATTTGAAAAATTGATTACTCAAAAACTACTCATTGTAAATACACAATTTTTTCACAGAGTTAAGTTTGATTATAACATTTATTAAATTCATTGATATTTTTCACTTGTATCCCATGTTTTGGAAATAATTCCAGAACGAGATTTCAACCAGACTGTAACGTCAGAAGAATACATCCTTAATATACTCATGAGAAAGAATAGAAAAAGAATTATAACCAACTTAAGATTTAATATATGTTTTAGCCAGATCAATTTTTCATGGAAAGAATTCCATTCACGTGTAGTTGTGATGGTGACGTAAATATTGATGATATTCACGTTTGCAAGATATGATTAGTCCAAATTTGGTAAAACTTTGCTGAATGGTGTATTATATTATAGAATAAATATTTAATTTCAATATAAAGATATAGCCGTACCAATGAAAATATGCAGTTATTTTAAAAAAATGTGCTCCTGTTCCACCCTTTCCCTCTTGTTTCTCCCATTATTCAAATGTTCTAACATGGAGAACATCTGAAAGAGAAAACAAATTACACAGACTGCTAATGACACTATTCTGGATACTTCGCTGATTCATGTTTAAATAAAATTACATAAGAAATGGACAATCCTATTAGTTACTAAAAAGAATGCAGTAACATAGTTAACTATTGCTCAATTGAAGATATCACATTAATATCACCATCTATTTTAATTACGACCACTTATGTGTCAAACCTTATTTCTTTACTTAATTGATTTTACTTGAAAAGAAACATGTGTGTTCAATATTTTAGTTCTTTTTTGTACATTTCAGCTACATTTGCAACTTCCATAAACAATATATTCCAAGATCGAGCGCATTGACTTTGAAATAATGTAAACTAATTCTAACTTTCTTTGTTCTCATTAGTGAATAGATTTAATTCATTTGCTGTGTAATAAGCAGTTACCCTACATTCTTTTATACATGTGCATAGTCTGAAACATTTCGATTCTCGACTCTGGAATAATTAAAATCAAACCATACCAAAGTATGCAAATAAATGCATTTCACGTTTTATTTTATATAATTCCTGTAGTAGCGAGCACTTGCTTACCCTGCTTTGTACTTCATGATCCTGTGCTGTTATTTATTTCCTTGTCCAAATTAATGGTCATTCTGTTGGTAGTCGCACTTGTACAGGTCTTTTTATTGACGTGTGATTTAGTTTGACGACCAATGACCTAGATAGCAAAACGGAAAGGATGGGAGGGTTTTTTTTCGCGATTCCTGTCTAATCCCTGTTTATAAGCTAACCCATTTTTGCTATTTAAATGATATTTTACCATTACTTTATTCCAAGCTTATTGTTCTAAAAATGCTTCTTCTGCACGTTTCTATATGAGAAGGATTGAAAAATAAGATATTAAACCACTCTTATTCAGTCTATGATTGATAGTGACGACAAAGTCACTGAGCCCTGTTATGGACTTCTGATAAATAACTCAGTAGAGATAGAGAACACATTAGAATAGGTGTTATGTCTGGGAAGCTTCAACTGCGAAATTCAATTATATACTTGGATAAAACTAGTGGTATTACTTGTACAAAACACTTTAGATAACGGATGGGTCTTATGAGATTATATGTTTGATGTCTGTAAAACATCGTTATACACCTCCATTTATGACAATATAAGTTTTTGTCTGTTAGTGTTTTAGGTACGAATTGTACTTTTTGATTGGAAAACCAATCCTTCATTTGCAGCAAGCTATGCATTACATTTTCGCTCAGTTAACATCACCATATTTTTGGAAATATTCTTATTGCTTAAGGTCAAGGTCTAGTGGGCTTTGTCACAGATTTTGGTTAAATATTTCATACGACTTTAGCTCATTGAACTTCAATTGAAAATCGAAAAAAAATACGGCATTTATCTCCTATTAATTGAAATATTACTAAATGAATTATTTCAAATATATTGATCATTTGTTTAGAAAACACACAAAATCGTCGAAAAATGTTCTTGAATTTGTCTAAAAATCATCAAATATTCAATAACAAATTCATAAGTTTTTCTTCACAATTAACCATAACCATAGGGTCGGTCGTTTTACAAAGTGTTTTGGTCAAGTATTCAGGACAATTTGTTTTTCATGTTCACTCCACCTTCACATATTCTTTTCTTTATGGTTAGAGATTACTTTCCTCGATGTAAATCAAACATGGTTATTTCGTTGTAGGTACAGAGTATGTTGCATGAAATAATGAATTGTCAAGTTTACAACAAGTGCATTGAAATCCGTAAGACATGTTGTTCATACAATAACTATTTTGATATATAAAACAGTATGGCATCGTGCTAATCGCGAAAAGAATGGCATAATCAAACTTGTTGATTGGATAAGGTGTGAAATGTTTTAGAGTAAAAAGTGAAATGTGTTTTTGAAGAACTTTGATTACACAAAAATCAGGTAAGAAAAGGGAATGTAAAATGTACTTAACTCAAAACAAATAAAAATAAAAGTCCACATGACAACTACCAGGACATATCTCTTTGAATCATCATAATTTAAAAACATAGCGATTTAAAAGAAACAACTTTCAGCTTACACGACACATGTCTTTTAAATAACATTTTATATGTGCTCTCGGGACCAAACGTTTGGGAAGTCCAATATCTAAAACATATACACAGATTAAAAATGAGCAAATACCTTTACACATAATCTTATTGCAAAAAAGATCCTATAGAGAATTATATCTTTAATAAGACAATGATTCCTTCATGTGCACATATAAGGACACACAGTCTACATTTATTTCAGAAAGTGATCGATCAGTGTCTCGTTATTATCAAATAAAACAATAATTGTATGATTCAGTTGAAATTGATATCCTTTCTTGTTTATCAGATGAAGTCACTTGTGTTTGGAAAAACCTTTCGGAATTTTGGGCCCTCAATGATCAACTTCGTATTTTATTTAACCTTTTGATTTTGTTAATTCTGACGTAAATGACGAGTATTTTTTGTAGACTAAACGTGCGTATGGCGTACAAAATAACTAGTCCGTGAATTTGATATGTTCTTTTTTTACATGCACACTTACAATATGACACATTTATCATGCTTTGCCATGAAGTAGGTTAAATTGCTGAAATACCCCTTTCTTAATTTATTAAAAGCTATAATTATGCTTTAACAAACATATTTTGATGTAAATCAGATACATACAATTGGACTAACGCCCTAATATGCGTATCTTATACATAAAGTGTTTCATGACAGTTTCCTTTCTTGTTTAAAAATTGACGACTCCTACATCTATAAATAAATCAATGAATTGTTAATTATCTCTATGTCTTCATTATGAGATGGAGACACCTAGATTTATAGAACAAGTATTATGTTATCAAATTATAGATAGATAAATGATGTGAAAGCAATATGGTTGACCTTTTGATTTTCTGATAAGATGAGGACACTTACATCTTTTGTTTTGTGTATCAAATGACTGACAACTACACATAAATAAGCATACATCTACAAATGAAACAATGAATTTTCAGTTTCAGAATGGGCTTCCGTCTTCTGTTTCAAATGCCTATACATACATCTACAAATGAAACATTGCATTTTCAATTTCAAAATGGACTTCTTTCCTCTGTTTCAAATGACTATACATACATCTACAAATGAAACATTGCATTTTCAATCTCCGGATGGACTTCTAGACTGTGTATTAAATGGTCATACTTACATCTACAAATGAAACATTGAATTTTTAATTTCAGGATGGACTTCTAGCCTGTGTATCAAATGACTATACTTACACCTACAAATAAAACATTATGTTTTTTAATTTCAGGATGGCCTTCTATCTTGTGTATCGGATAATGACATTTACGTTTGTTACAACACAGAAAGAGAGAAATATTACAATATACCCAAAATGAAAATGAACAAACTGTTAGAATCATCCGGAAATGAACAGTATAATATACAAGAAGACGTAGATGACAATTATAGCGTAGGAGAAAGTCGTAGCAATTACATGCCAACAACGAAGAGGGGAAATAAACGTCCATCATTTCTAGGATTGAATCGACCATCCCTCTCACTTTATGATTTATTTGTTAACTACAGACGACCACCACATAGCCGAGGATTATTCACCTCATTTCGGAAAAGGCCTTTCGATTCCATATCATACAGAGGACAGTTCGGAGGGTTCGGACGAAAACGATGATGAATCATTCCAAATGACTCAAATAAAATCTTTTTCCACTTGCAATGCGTGACACATTATTAAGCCTTCTTCTATAATTCAATATCTTGTAGAAGCAATTTATTAACCAAAACGTACATCAAATTTAGAACTTCAAATCTTAGGCCAAAGTAATAGTGTTAGAATAATGAAATTAAACACATTGATATTAATTCTTTATTTAAATTTACCAATTGCTCAGTTATTTTTAAGCTATGTGCATATTGCATATCAATTTAGAATATGAATAATCAAATACCTTTTACACATATCATCTACGAGAGATATTTTGAATAAACCGAATTTTAGGAATGCTCGCCGTATATCCCGCACAAGACCGACCAACAACCTGAAGATTACAACTTTCATTTCAATAAAGAAGCGATTTTTTAAATAAATATACACAAAACATATTGAAGTCTTCGCACTGACGTACATTCGATGTGAATAACCCGTTTCCAACAGCAGAAAATTTTGGAATGTACGAAATTCACAACAGACACTATAATGCTTGATAGAAGAATTGCACAATCGTAAACCCCTGTAAACCGAAACTTTAATTGAACAAGTTCATAGAAAATAAAAAGTAAAACAGTTTGTTCCACATTTAATATTTATAATTCAAATATATTAGGGAGTAAAATAAAAAAAAAAAACCCGGCTAACTTGAATTCACGAATCATGCATCAGAACGACAAAAACGTTAGTCGCTTTTTTTACCGGGACAATATAACAAGAGCGAGAACATTGTGGACGTGAATTTTTCACTTAAAGTATACCACATGAAAACAAAATTTCAATATTCTTTTGCAACTTCTTTGTGAATAGTTAGGCATTTCGATTTTGCACAAAAAAAAAAAACAACAAACAAACAAAATACTTCACTCAAAGTTATGAAATTAGAGGTTTTAAGATTGGGTGACAAAACAATGTCAAATTTAGAAATAAGGACACGAGAGATGATTGCCAATGCTTATACTATTCACCAAATGAAGTAAAAATGAGACCCTATACCGTATTGTAACAATTTGATTCAAATGTTTATATATGCTTATTTGTTGATAGCGGGTGTTAATTAATTTGAAAACATTAAAGACGAGTCTCGATTTACAGCTGTGGCTTCTTTAGGCTTTTAATTTTTGTCTTTGTCGTTGTATGTATATATACAATATAAAAAAAGGCTATATTGTATGATTGCAATTGAGACAATATACCAATAAATGCCAAAAGGTCATGGATGTAAGCCATTTGTAAGTTTCAACAATGAGCAAAAGTAATATATAAAAGGTTCACAGATATTATATCCAACTGTAGTTTGCATGTAGAGTGGACCCCAGTGAACACATTAATCACAACAGTTGTTAGGTCGGAGTGAAATTGATCTGGGTACACCAGTCTAAAAAAGGTCATTTGCACCAAAATTCTAAAAATTTCCGATTTTTTCCGATTTTTTACTTTAACTGGACCTGCAACCGGAAGTAGTCGTTTCCTAGGCGTATTTTGATAATAAACACGATCAGTAGTTATATGCCTTGGGTTTTACACTATTTGTCCAAGTTTCAGGCCTCATAACTTCGTGTTTCAGACCTCGAAGGTAAGCCCACCCCTCCAAAAAACCCAATTTTGTCCGATTTCAATTTTCCAAGTTCGTATTTGAGCTCAAAATGAACATTAAAAGTGAGAAAGATGACAATTAATGGTGTAAGATTGAGGAAACATGCATACACTTCGAGTTAAATGGCATTACGTTGACCTCCAAATGTATGGAGCGCCATTGGTGCCAAATAACGGTGGTCTGGGTACGGCCGTAATATTACGGCCCCCGCATGGTAAGGGTTAAAAGATAAATTGTTTCAACCCTCGTACTGAAAGATTGCTATGGTTAACTCTAAGGAAATATAATTTCAAGCTAGATTTTTGAAAAATAAGGAAAATGTGTTTCATCTCTTCTTTATTTTGGATTCATACGGTAGGGGACGAATGCATAACAAAATACATCTACCCTGTCGACGCAACCGGTCTCGCTCCTTTTGGTTCCATCAGATTTTTTTTATCTTAATTTGCCTTCTTAAATGATCTATAAGATTTGAACATAGGTAAACTACAAATGTGTTAAGTTCCGGATTTTTTTTTATTCACATTGACCTTACCTCTCCGCTGATTTTAAGACAAACATATTCAAAGTTTAGGGAATCTATCCGATCGAACTTGAAATATAAGATAGAGCAGATAGAGTTAGGTCTGCTACATATCTTGACTTACAACTCTGACAAATTGACAATGAGGATCGGTTGAGAACAAAACTTTACGACAAAAGATATGATTTCAGCTACCCAATTGTGAACTTTCCATTGATATTATATTTATATTTATAATATATGTTTAGCAATCTAGCAGCGCCTGCATGTGGAGTATATGTCTCTCGGTTGATACGATATTCCAGAGCTTCCATTTCCTATCATGATTTCCTTGATAGATGGTTGATGTTTACAAAGAAACTTATAAACTAGAGTTCCAAGTGGTGGAGTTGAAATAATCCATTCGGTATTTTACGAATGCCATCACGAGTTGGTTTACCGGTATGAAATATTTGTTTCACAGATGAAGATGAATACGTTCCTATTGTCGTAACTACAAGCCCGTCCTCTTTTCCTCGAATGTAACCTACCGACTAAAAACTTATCACCAGAAGCGTACATCTGCTTACCCTTCCGGAGCACTTGATAATCTCCGGTTTTTTGTTGGGGGTGCTTGTTGCTCAGTCTTTGGTTATCTATGCTGTTTTTTGCATACTGTTATTGTCGTTTTCGTTTTTTCTATGGCGTTGTCAGTTTGTTTTTGAATTTTAATGATTGAATGTCCCTTCGGTATCTTTCGCCTCTCTTAAGTGGGTCGACGGAACAAAATTGAAGTTAACTATGAGGATTTAAATATTATGCCTAATACAAAATATTCTGAAGAAATTGTTTCACAATCCAATAAAACAAAGAACTTTATAATAACATTTTTATATCACTTGTTTTAATTACATGCATTTGACGGCAAGAGTTAAATTTATTTCAGATTTGTGTATTTGCCATGCATATCTGATATTGTATTTCTGGAAAAGGATTAAAAGCAAGACCCAGACCCCCTACTTTTAATGCCATACGTCAATTAAACGCTCCAAACAGTATCGCTGCGTATTGCAGGTACTTATAACTTGTGAAATATAACTTAGGTGGAAGCTACATGCTGTTTTGTTCTTAAACCATTGTTGAAGGCTTTTGAGATTGCTGCTTGATTATACCACTATGAACAGAAAACTGTGTAGAGGTACCGATTGATTGATTGATTGATGTTTAACGCCACATTCAACACTATTGTGCTATTTCGTGGTGGTCAGTTTTTATTGGTGGAGGAAGCCAGAGTTCCCAGAGAGAACCACCGACCTTCGGTAGGAAAACTGACAATCCTAGTCAATTAAGATTGGAGTCGAGTGCACCTGCCCCGTGCGGGATTTGAACTTACAACCTCAGTGTTGACTGGCTAGTGATACAGTAGTTCGACTACTTAGACCACTCGGCCACCGAGGCCCCTAGAGGGTACCGTATGGTTGTCTTTATTGAAAGAGAGGCGAAGGATACCAAAGGGACATTCAAACTCAGAAGTCAAAAATAAACTGACAACGCCATGGCCAAAAAAGAAAAAGACAAAAAGACAAACAGACAAATAACAGTACACAAAACAACATAGAAAACCAAATGCCCGTAATCATTTATCTTAATTAAATGCCCTTAGTCATTTATATTAATTAAATGTCCTTAATCATTTATCTTTAAGATTAAAACAAGTTTGGAACCTCCTCATGGCCTAGTTAACTTTATAGTCTGAATGAAAGAAACAAATCACAGCAATATAAAGAAACTCACTACAAACAACTTCTCAGTATCCTTGTCATTATAAAACCAGCACTCATACAGAAATAATAACATCACCTTACTGTCATGATTCTATATACAACATACATTATTTGTGGTAAAATGTAGACATTTATACTGTCTCCGGTAAGGGGGGAGTTTGGCGCCTGTTAAAACGTTTAAACCCGCTGCATTTTATGCACCTGTCCTAAGTCAGGAGCCTGTTGTTCAGTGGTTGTCGTTTGTTGGTGTGGTTCATAAGTGTTTCTCGTTTCTCGTTTTTATATAGATTTGACCGTTGGTTTTCCTGTTTGAATTGTTTTACACTAGTCATTTAGGGGCCCTTTATAGCTTGCTGTTCGGTGTGAACCAAGGCTCCTTATTGAAGGCCGTACTTTGACCTATAATTGTTAACTTTTTATGCATTGTGACTTTTGGATGGAGAGTTGTCTCATTGGCACACATACCACATCTTCTTATTTATATTTGCATAGTTTTAGAAACTAATGGAATGGATTGCCGTGGAAGGCTTTCTTTAGTGTGTAGCAAGTAGAAATAAATCATATTGTATCCGACAAATTGTATGCATTTTTTTATCATACAATCTAATACGAATGTTTACGTGCCATGTGTTTCCGGTTTTCAATAAAGCGACAAAGCTTCAAAACAGACCGCGAATTAGACTTGTGATGATCATTTGGTCTCTGTATGAGAATTGTCTCATTAGTAATCATACCATCTATTCTCTTTTATATTTTGAGTTTACAGGTTTTTGAACGAAATGTAGTTTAAATCGGAAAATGATACCGCTATAAATAAAGATTAACCAAAGAAATAACTAGACATAACAGTACATTAAATCCTAATGAGGTACAAATACAAAAGAAAAGTTTATCTACGTCAGTAACATAAGGTTTTTGGTTTAAACATTATCAACAATAGCTAAATAGCACTGTTTGACGTACAAACGAAGACATATATTAGCGAACAGTACAGGATCAAGACCACCTGACGTGTTCAAGATACAAAATGCGATGGGGTTAACATTGTATCTAATGATGAGAACTAAATAATATACAGAAGAAAAATATTATTTTAATCAAGTCTATGCAATATGTTAATTCAATT